GAAAAATTTCTTGACAGTGAGGGTGACAGAGCACTGGAACAGGCTGCCCAGAGAGGTTGTGGAGTCTCCTTCTCTGGAGATCTTCAAAATCCACTTGGACGCAGTCCTGTGCCACGTGCTCTAGGTGACCCTGCATGTGCAGGGGGGTTGGACTAGATGACCTCTAGAGGTCCCTTCCAACCTTAAGCATTCTGTGATTCTATGATTCTATCAAATATATTTGACAGACACAGGTTTATTTGATGTGCATCTCTTAAGTAGATTGTTAATCATAATAAGCATCACAGATCTGTTCTGTGGCAAATGGGTACATGGATCAGTTCTCTGAATTAGTGATCATGTAAGAAAAAAGATTAATTTTATCTTTATAAAAGCATTTTGAAAGGCATGTATATTATGTGCCCTGAATCATTCTCCAAAAGGGAGTAGCTGTGCTTCTTGAGGTGTGAAGCTGACAGTCATGATGGCAGTAGGCTAATATAGTTGTGTTTTTTGAGGATAATGTATTTATTATTGTGCAAGTCTCATATTTTTTCAGAATATGCTGTAAAAAGTATAAAATAACTTTGCTATATCTGTAAGCTTTGCTTCTCCTGTCACATTTGATTAAACTTAGTCCTTCTAGTCTCCTAAAGCTTTTTTAAAACAGTGCAGAACAAATCCAGCCTCTTCTTTCTAGCTTGTGTTATAAATTGCTAGCTAGCTTTTCTTCTATACAACTTTTTCAAGGTATACAAAAAAAATAGAATTTATGTAGTATGTTACGTGTCTCTATGGTGAAAATTATGTAAATTAAGTATGTAAATAAATGGATAGTAAATCATGTTAGTGAGACTTAATACATTTTCTGCAATCTGGAGTGATTGGCATTGTTTGTGTTTCATTTCAGGTCCACACTGCTTTTTGTGCATATTTGTCTGGTGTTCACTTTGGGGAGTCAGTTATCACCCATCTGTAATAACGAGCCCATCAGCAGCACTGGGGTGTGCGTGGTGGTGGTCGTGGTGGTGTTTGTTGTGGTGTCCAAGAAGAAGAATGTAGATTTACTTAGGGAGCCAGCCAGAGGGAAAAGGTTGTGTTTTCTTTTGATTGAGTGGTTTTCTTGTTGTTTCCATTTATGTCTGAAAGTAGAACGTAAGTGCCTCCTCCTGCAGGCTCAATGTGTGCTTGGAAGGAAAGGTAGAATGGGAGAGTGAAGAGTGGAGTGTCTGTATATAATGAAGGAGATTCGGAAGGAATTGCTATGAATGTGTTACTTATCAAAACCCCGATATACTTATTAATCTCTCCATTCTTTCCATAGTACCCACCCTCTCCTGCATCCTGTTGTGTATCACTGTTTCTTGTCAAATACTCAACGGCAGTAACAGCTCTTGAATGCCAGTACTTCTGTCTCATAACTGTTAAAATTGTTGTGGTTGGAGTCCACAGGAAATCTATGTTTAGGGTTTGAACTGAGAGACAAAGATTAGCTAAATTCCCCTAATTCTAGATTTTTTTTTTCTGAAAATCAGACCAACATCAGGCATGCAGCTTTTCCAGCCTGTGTCAAGAAAACAGGATGAATGTCTGTGGTCAGGAGATTTTAGTTGAATGATACTTTTATTGTCCTGGGCAGAAAAAGTGTCCTTTGAAGATGAGTAACTGCAGCTATTTAATTATTTTTTTCTGATAATGTTTCTTTGAAGCAGGTTTGTTGAAACACTGGAATCTTGTGTCATAGCACAATGGTGATAATCACTACTCATAAGACTTTTTTCCTCTTTTTTTTTTCTCTTTTCGCAGATGACATTAAAGTATCTGTAAATGACTTTATTATCAAAGCAACTGCCGTTACTTTGAAGGTGAGTAAATAATGACTGTCATGAATATGCTTTATAGTAAACTATTAGAGTGTTGAGAAGTATTTTGTTGAGCATAGGTGGAGATATGAATGAGATCACAGCAGAGCTGCTAATTCTTCACTGCAGGATGTCAGTTTTTTTGAGCATTTCTGGTAGCCTACAGCATGAGTACAAGTCTCCACACTGTCTGCAATGTAAAATATCTGCAGTTATGAAGCTTTCCCAGTCTCCGTAAGCTACTTACTCTGATAGAAGCAGATGAGTTGCCTTCCAGTTTGCATTGATTGTTCTGCTTGGAAAATGCTCCCCATGCCAGTTAGCTTTTTGAAATTGAAAAGTTTCAGAGATCAAACTTTAGGAGCACTCTATTCTTTGAAACTTGCTCCTCCTTAGTCCAAAGTGTCTCAAATACGATCACATTTAAAAAATTATTATTTGAATACAGTTCACATTTAATTTAAGAACTTTTAAGTGGGAACTTTTTCCAGACTGACAACTTGTATTTGCAAACCTCATGAAATATAACTGTTCTTTAATTAACTTTGATAACTCAAAAAGACCTCTGACATGTAATGAGGTTTGTGAGTCTGGTGGCTAACAGCAAGAGCATGCTTAATCCCAAGATTCCCAACAGAGTTTGTGGCAGTTTTGGTGGTGTTGTGCATTTGTGTTATCTTACACCCTCTTGGTTCCTCAGTGATTGCATGTCCTAGCTATATAACAGCCTAGAAGAGCCAGACTTTCCTGATGGCTTGGCATCGTGCAACACCCCCTTGGAGACATTTTGTGTTTGTGTATGTGCTGCAGCACTTCTCAGCAGTTCGAGTCACTTGCAGACAGAAGAATTGCACTTCCTTCGTATATATTGAAGAATAGGAACCGAGAGTTCTGGTCTACCACTTTTCTCTAGGGAAGATTAGGTGGAGTTACTTTAGAGATTATCGTATGTGTCATACATATGTTCCTGAGGTTAGATTGAAATAGCTTTGGATCCCAAACCAATGAAATGAAAGAATAAAGCGAATATTTTTTGATGTAAAAAATAAAAATTATAAACCAAATCATTCTGTTTTTTTTATTTTAAATTTTGTAAAGGTTCATTAATTTGACTAAAATCAACAAGGCACCTATCCATTCATATAACTATCCTATTGCTTAGTATATTTCATATGAGATTTTCTTTACAAGTAATTCAATGTAACTTTGTTAATAATAGTAGAAGGAAAGGCAAAGAAAAGGAATTTCCGGTCATTTAAAGTAGGCTTTTTCACCTTTATATGTTATTTAGCTCTACTATACTTCTGCATAATCCTAGTTCTGTTGCAATTTTCATGTCACCTTAAAATATTATTTATGACTTGCATAGGCATAGTGGTGGAACAGATACTAAATGAAGATAAGAACCTCAAGTAATTATTGAAAAGTAAAAACATTTTCTCATAGCTGCTCACATTACATCGTTGCATTATACTAAATATTAATACTTGATCTATATATATTTACTTAGTCACTGAGGACAAGCACAACAATAGAATTTACACTTCTGCAAAAGCTTTTACTCTGCATGTAAAAAATGCTGTAGAATTCTATCTCTTCTACTTTAAATAACATTTTCTGTCATAATGTTTTAGACCTAGTTGCTCTCATTCAGGCATAATGTTTCAGATACTCAGGTTTCAATACTGTGGTTTCAATTATTTGCCATTTTTTTTCAGAGAGAAACCTTACCTGTAAAGGGATCTAAAATAACAAGGTAGCTTTGAATAAATGTGAACCAAAGAAATTCAGAATCAAGTTCAACTTGATTATAAACGTATTTTATCTGTATGTGAACAGTACTCTGTGTATGTTTTTAAAAGATCTGTCCGTGTATGAAAAAATCTCTGCCTCTATTGAGTAAAATGCTAAAGCCAGTTTATAAATGCATAGATTAGATTATTTAGCCTCCCCCCTAACAAAGGTGGAGGTGTAAGTCATTGTAGATGAAATAGATATATTTTTCTAGAAATACATTTCTCTACCGTGATTTTCAAAATTCTAAATGATGATGTCTATGCCACAACCTTTGGCAATAAGCTAGATTTTTCTCATTTGTTTTAAGGCACTTTAGTAATTTTCTCATTTCACTTTTCAGCTCTAGGATTGTTTATTGGGTTACGGACCATTCCAACACTGGATTCTATAGCTTGCAAATGGAATATTAGTGCACATCTTCAATTTTACTAAGATAAATATTATTGTAACAACCTGAACTTTCTTCTTCCACTCCTGTAGTTACAGTAGGATAATCTCTGCCATAGCTTTTCTTATATGAAAATCTTGATTATTCACTTTTTGTACATGCTCTTCTGCTTTTATACTATCACTATTTAAATCTTATCAATTTTAAATCGATCTTACCTGCTTTCATAAAGCAAGTTTAAGCTTATGATGCTGTTTATTACTCTCTTAAAAATCCCTCTGATTGGGAAGGGACCATTTCTTTCTTCAATATCAAACACGAAGTAAAGGATACTCTTTGCAGGAGTATCACACAAATGAAAAGTTTATTACTGCTTTGGCAATACTTACTGGAGACTCTCGAGCGTCTAAGTGTATAGTCCTGAGTATAATGTTCCGTGTGCATGTGGTGGTTTTACATTTTAACCAGATAAAGTAAGGAAAACTTGAAGTTGGAGCCTTTTAGTAGTTAACATTTTGCAAACTTCATGCTGAAGTGGTTATATAATAATATATAATGATATTCACTTGGATAGTAAGATATAGCCACTATGAAAAAGCCCTTAATTTTTAAAAGCCGGTAGAGCTTTCCATAAGACTCTCGCAAGTATGAATAATATTGCAGTTTTAGCCTGCTCACCTTAAAAGGAGGAAAAAGAATACATTTGCTGCTCCCTTATTTCTTTTTCTCCCAATTTCTTTTCCTTGAATTCAAAACCAGAGGTTTACTTTTTCTCTCCTACTAGGATTTGAAGTTCAGCCTTAAATGTGTACCTTGTAATGGTTAGTGTTATGTGTGAATAAGTAGTGTTCACTTATTCGTTTAGTATTGTTCTGAATTGGGAGAGATTAGTACCCAGGGCAGCAATGAGGATATTATTCTTTGTTGGAGAAGAAAAATTGGTATAAAAGGTCTATGTGTCTATGTATCTATGCACTGAATGCTATTTTTGGATTTCTTAGTCCATAGAAATAGGATCTTTATTTCAGCCAACATGTTTGCATCCAAGTTGATGTCCTCCAGCAATCTTACATGTTGCTACTCCCTCTACTTCCCTTTCTGTAGGACAGGCCCGCAGCTTGCAGCGACTAGGTCAGTGCTGAGCAGAACTGAATTGTAACCATTAAGCTACCCTTGCATCTGTTACCTGAGACTTCACCTGCAGGCTTCCTTCCCTGAGCTGATGCAGCTTTATATGGTAAACTGAAAGGCCTCGTTGAAATTATCATCAGTGTTATCTGAATTTTAGTTCTGAGTCTGTACAAAAACAAATAAAAAATTAATCCATATCCAGTGCTGCTTTTTTGGGAAAGGGAAAGGACACTGCTTTGTACTTCTTACATGCTGGGCAATTATAAAGTGGCATCTGAGAGCCCTGAAGGAATTTGGAGGCTTCTGTTAATTTGATTTTCCAACCGCACTAAAAAAAACCTTTCTGGCTGCTCCTGTGGCATACATCCCCACTTTTTTTTGACAAAATAGGCTTAAGTAGATGCAAGCTGATCATGCAAATCTATTCTTAGAGCCTCATAGTGATTTTATTGTTTTTCTTGTTTTACTAAGTGCAGTCCCAGTGACAGATGTGACCTGTTCTTTAGCCTTCATTTGCAAACAGCGGTTTGTGATGCACTAATTACTTTGCAAATGCCCGTGTATAACTATGCATCTTAAAGGATTTTCCTATTCCTTGATAATTGGTTGCACCGTTATTTTTTTAACAGCTGTGTCTTTTTCTTCTCCTTCTTTTCCAGCAATTGCCAGATGTGAACGTAACCTGGGGCGGAGAGGGCCCCAGGCAGCTGCACTCCATTGACATCTCTATTGCTGTGGCAACAGACCGCGGTCTCATTACACCAGTCATAAAAGATGTTGCTGCCAAGGGAATACAGGAAATTGCTGCCTCTGCAAAGGTGGGTCTTAAATGCACAGTAAATTGAGGAATATAAAAGCTATGTAGCTTCTTGTTACAGGGAATGTAGCATGACCCAGATACATACAAATAGTAACAGAAGCAGTTTCAGAATGGATCGAAAGCTGTGTCTGTATTTCTTCAAGAAAATTTCTTCAAGGTTGTCATATGCTACATTTAGATCCACCGAAGTTGTTTTTATTTTCTTTTTTCTTTCTCTAGATGCAGCATATAAAATCTACTCTATGATTAGTAATAGAATTAAAAGAAAGGTATTATTAAAAGGATAAGGTACTGAGGATGTACTACTGTGACATGGTATTACAAACCCGAGCTATCAGAAGATTATCTTATAATATTCTTTGTAGGCTGTCCTACATTTCCTGTGGTGAGAATGTACACTTGCTTTGTATTTAATAGGGCCACTGTAAGATAAGCATTCCCTTTTCATTTCAACAGAATGTGTGTAACATAGGTTACACTAGCCTAAATGAATTCAATCATAGAGATGAGTTGGACAAATTAGTTGTCCACACCAGCATAGTTTTTCTTTTCGACTTTTCTACTGAGTTAAATATACACACATGTAAATAGGCTGTGAAACTGCATCTGCTTTTTTGTCTCAGGCATTTGACAGATGTTTTCTGTCTGCTTTGCTTTGTGTTCCCTTCTGCTCAATGTAAATTCTAACTTATTTCCAGGTCATATGTATGCAGTCACCATATTTTCATCATTTCAGCAATTTTACTGCACATACGCATTACACTTATAGTGACCCTATCGTGCTGATGAGCTCTGTTCCCTTGACTGTTGTGTTCTGGTTCGCTACTTACTTACAGATGAATTAAAGTCTTTTAGTTCTTTATGAGCTATTTTAACATGTCACTGTCTCCATTCAGAAAGTATTCTAGAAGAAATTTTCAAGGAAACAAAAATACTTGATAACTCAAGGGGAATTGGCTGATGAAAACAATGGAGGACGTATGTGATGCTTTTATGCAGCCACTAGTTAAAATCAATTGACAAAGCAAAGCAATTTGACATGTGTGAAATGAATTGATTATTCTTAGTTTATATTCTCAGACTATTCAAGTAACCCCTGCACAAAAAAAGCACAATATTTTGACATCTAAAATTATTACAGTTATGTTATAGAGACCAAAAAGCTCGGTTTCATTGGACTAGTATTTTTAGCCATGAAAGAATTAGCTAGGTATTGTATTTCCCAAGATACTTGTAGCACAATTTTAATCTAGATTCACACATTTTCATTGTGGACTACCTTAGAGACTAATTTGTTCTGCTGAATATAAAACTTCTATCTCTAAGTGCTAATGGTTTTGACTCATCTACTACGTCTTTATTCTGCACCTGTTGTCCTTAATGCTCAGCTGTAGCTATATTTCCACTTTGCTGACTTTTCTTGACAAAAAATAGCAGCATTTTCCTAGATAGCCGTGTTTGATGTGTTTGGAAGTAGATGCAGGGGATTACCTGAATATCAGCCAGGGAATTCTTCAAAGTCTGATGGGATCTTGCAACACGGGGTGGTGATCATGAAATTTTGGGAGATATCATGGAAAACTCCTAGAAAATATGTGGGGTAGGAGGGTCCTAGAAAGTCTGTAGAAAATACCTGGAAAGGGACAGGGAGTTTCTTTGAAAGCAGAAGGCAGAAATCCTTAACATCAATTGTGGAAGTCCTTTAAAGTAGAGGCAAAGGTTTCTAGAAAGCACATGTCTGTGTGGGGCCATGGATTGGGGGTGAGACAGATTCCAATAACGCCTATTCTAGGTAGATGAATGATTTGCTGGAAAAATTACATTCCCTCTCTATCCATCTGCTAGAGAGTGGCAGGTTCTTTAAACAAGTGTGTTAGGAGGAATACTACGAATTTGTCCCATTAGTGTATCATAGATATTCTTGTTGTCTAAACACCTGGGAAAAATGACAAACTGTTCTGTGGTGGAAAGATTGTGAGAGGATGTACGTGTTTTATTAAACAGCCACCGTAGCTGGGACAATCTGCCCTAGCCTCTATCAGATCACTGCAACTACAGCAGCATTGTTGCTAGTACATTTGCCTAAGTTAAAAACCAGAAGTCTTCTTGCTATGGCTGTGTGGTATTTGTAATATTTTAGTGAAGTAAAAAGAATGAGAGTCTGGTACAATGTTTTCATTTCTTTTTTCTCTCCTTTTTCATCTTTTAATTTCCATAGGCTCTAGCAAAGAAAGCAAGAGATGGGAAACTATTACCGGAGGAATATCAGGGAGGATCATTTAGGTAAAACTTTCTACCAGTATTCAATACTTGCAGTATGAGTTTTTAGCTGTCTTATCCCCAGGTATTCCACTCTGTGTTCTTGCACAGTCTTGTAAAATCTTGCTTCATTTAAAATCAAATTACAACTGATTAATTTGATTATATATTTATTAAATAACTTTTTTATAAACTAAGTAAAAAGAGCTAGTGAGCTAGTTTAATAAAAGCTAGTGGCTTTTAGTAAACAGTAGCGTGAATGTAGTTATATAGTTGCAGTTACTCAGCTCACCTTTTCGTTTTAAGCTTCTAACAATGTATTTGACAAACAATAGCATTAAGCAACATTTTACTTTTGCAAATTTTAGCTTTCGCTTAGTGCAAATTTTTTAATAATAACTATCTTCTGCACAAATACTTCAGTAACATACAGAAGTGTGCCCAAGCTTCAACTCTCTGGAGTATGTGATATAAAATGGTGTAAAGAATCTAGTTTTCACAAGCCTTTCAGCAGAGAAAGCTCATGGAAATTCGCAGGAGTGGCTAGTTTGTTTGTTTTTCTTTTATTTTTGGTAAGAATTCCAGTGACAGAAGTTACATACGAGATCTTCTGTGTAGCTGGCCAGCTGACTGGTAGCCTGCAATCTATCTACTGCCTCTTTGGGAAGACAGTAGTTACCTGCCTATGGATGTTACTACTGTTTCCAAAATAGCAAAATTCCTGCAGTTGCCTGTGTCTCTTATGCTTGCAATGCAAGAATATAGTCCTATAAACAACTAAAATGTTTAAAAACAAAAGGTGAGTTGCAATTTTAAACCCCACTCCCCCTGCAAATCCCAAACAGTTTAGAGTTTGAATGTGTCCAGTTCAGGTTTATTATAATGAACAGAACTAGTCTTGGGACAGAAGTTAGCCCATAGTAGTCACGGGATATAGATCATTATATAGCATATATAATATGCTATGTAATATATTTAATAATATGTATTTTTGACATTACTGATGCTTTTCTTTTCTATTTAGTATCTCCAATCTGGGCATGTTTGGCATCAGTGACTTCATTGCAGTCATAAACCCTCCACAGGCCTGCATCCTAGCTGTGGGCCGAGCCAGAACGGAGCTCAAGATTGTGGAAGATGAAGAAGGGAATGAGAAACTTAAGCAGCATCAACTCATGACGGTGACTCTGTCAAGTGATGGTCGGGTGGTAGATGATGAACTGGCTTCAAAGTTTCTGGAGACCTTAAAAGCCAACATAGAGAATCCGATGCGACTTGCCTTATGATGAACTCAGTGAAGATTGCTTCCTGCTTTGGCAACGTTTAGAATCCTGTTACAGAAAAACAGCCCCAAGTATGTGTAGAGGAAATAAGTAGTGTCAGATGGACAGTTAAAATAGTTAATTTATTTGAAGTAAACTGAAAAACTGTTAGTTTAAATCTTTTCTGGTCATTTTCAGTTCTTGTTTTTTTTTTATGTGAAACTGAAATGTTTAAATATAAGATTAACATATTCTAGTTCTTTAGATGTATAGTACTCATGGCACATAATATATGAAAAGAATAATCAATCTTTTCTATAAGGAGAAGTAAAAATATTTTATTAAATGTAAAAGGGAATGAGATGCTTTGTCTAAGTACAGCTGTTACAGTGGGGAATGCAAATGCCATAACCAAGTAAAATCCTGCTATGAGTTGTGGTCAGTATCAAGATCATTGAGTGCCTAAACTACACTGCTAGCACAGAAAGTTCTTCGGTTTACGAAAGACTTGCTGTCATGTTGTACCATCTCAACGAGTTTGAAATAATACTGAGATTCTGATGGAGATTTCAAAGTTTTCAACTTAAGACCAAAGAAGTTAGAAACCAAAATTAGTTTTGGTCTGATTTTGGTTACATCACAGACTTGACTATTCTATATTTAGACTTTTCTGTGAGCTGCAGTGAGGAGAATAAGATTGATGTGGAGATAAATGGAGGAAAGAAATGGCAGGAAATTTTGACATAGATTAAATTAGATCCTAAAGAAAGACACAATGTCTCAGAGTATTGAGAAGTATCTGACTATCCATAAAATCAGATCTTATTTTAATAAGTTTAAACTGCAAATGGATCTCCTTTTTTTTTTTCTCTAATATTTTAAGATCACTGCTTAATCTAATGCCCCAAAGAATATAGAAAGGAGTATAAACTTGTCTGAACAAATAAGTCCTCCATATAGGATAAAATATCAGCGTTGCAATTGAAATAAAATTTAGTGAAAAACAAATTTATTGTGTAGGAAATAACAATAGAGGTATTCTCATTTTCTAAAAATAACTTTCTCTAAACTTAGGAGCTGCTCTTTCTCTCAACGCCACAGAATATTAATCTTTTTTTTTTTTCCTGGTCCTCTGAGGTAGGTTTTATATAACCTAAGGCGAAGTTAATTGTGCAGACAGATTTAGCTTTGATCTCATGGAGATCTCATAGTATGAAAGGTCAGGTGTTGCACGCTGCGTATTTGTTGAATAATGTTGTGCTTTGAATGGATAATACTAAAAGGTAAGTACAAAGTGTTTCATCATCGGTTGTATATTGGATTGTAACTCTGTTGGAGGCTTATGTGCCTGAAATTGAGATGAACAGAAATGACTGTGTTTTTTTCCTGTGTATAGATGTGCATTGTATGTGCTTGAAAGGAATTACCTGCGTTTACAGGACCTAGTGAGAATATAAATTGCCAGTAATATTCTGGGAGTTTGTGTTACTGTTTGTGTTGCTGTTATTATTTTAAGATTCAGAGGACTTTATTTGTTTATGGCAGCAGCCATAATTAAAATGCCAATAGCAAGGCTAAATCTGTTGCTAATATTGAGTGTTTTCACAAAATGATTTTTTCTTTGGCTTGCTCCAATGCCAGCAGTTCCAGAAAACATCTATCATACAGTGGTGAGAGAAGAAACTTTTCATTATGGATTTTTTTTTTTACTGTGCAATTACTTTTATACTCTTCCTGTATATGCAGAAGTCTTTCACTGATAAATTGTATTCAAAGTTGGTTGCATAAGACTTTACAGTTTTGGATGGTTATCCATTATTTTTTTTCTCCAAAGTTGTCAAGCAATTCCAGATAACTCTGAAAGGAGAGGAAAAAAAAAAAAAGAAAAAAAAAAGATATATTTTGTCCTTAATAGTATAATTCAACAAGTTCTTATTTGTTTCTATAGCTAAATCTACCACCAGAATTCCCAGTGTAATTTAAAATCTGATATACTGTTAATATTCTGTAGTATTGCTGTGTGCTCTGCATAATTCTGCTGTTCAGTTGGCCACAGTAAAGGGCTGCTTGAATATTTATATATGCTATATATATATATATATATATGTATTGCAGGTAAGTATATCATACAGATTTCTTTTGGGAGCCACTGGAAGGTGCTATTGTATGTAAGTATGGAATATTTACCTAATGACTCATTCATGTGGAGATTAATCCATTCCACCATGCATGTTCTATGCAAACAGTTGAAGGTATTGCAACTTTTTCTCCAGGTTAAACAAACAAGCAAATTTTTAAATTCTATTTCTTTACATCAGTCTGCTTGCAAGCTGAATTGTACCAATCAGTAGCATCTCCTTTAGCAGAAATGAGATGATTTTTTACACAAATCAAAATAAAACATTAGATGTGTTCTTGGAGACTTTTGGCACTTTCAGATGACAGCGATGGGTAAAATGGCTCAGAAGACAAACTGTAGAAATGGTTACAGTTGTTACATGTGTAGCAAATTTGCCTGAAAGTAAGAATTTGGAAGTAAAAATATCTTTTCAAGTTTTGCTCCTTAAAATGTTTGCTGTCATCATCTCTTTGAAATGTCTTAGCAAGAGGTACATGACAGCATCTAACTTCCTGGAGAATAAAAAAAAAAAAGAAAATAATTTGAAAAGTATGCTAATGTCTGCTGGCAATATCTACATTTAGGATTTTTTGGGGGAAGCCTGCTTTCTTCATTTATATTTTAAAAGAAAAAAAGAATTTTAAAAAAGGGGTAGTGATTTATTTCAGATAGACTTGGTGATTGCAAGTTGTGAACTGCATATGTCACGCTTAAATCCTGAATTATACTGCCAGAATCTGGGATGTTGTTAGAGCTTTTTTGTTTTGTTTTGTTTTTTCTGTGCTATATTCCTATGAAATAAAATCTCTAGAGTTACTGTTCTTACCTGCACCTGAACCCCACTCCTGTGAGGTGAATGGACTGTTATTATTTTCACCTCATGCTTTGTGCACACGTTCATCTGTGCGCATGCAGAATAGAGGGACGTTCTCTTTTGTTTCAACTAATGATTAATCCAGAATACAACTGAACTTGAAAATTGAGCAGGAAGGCAGAAGTATGACAAATAATGATAATCCAAGAAACAAAATCTGAGCGCATGTTTTTATTTACCTACTATGGTATTGCATAGGAAGTCGCAATGTTTGATTGCATCTATTTGCAGAGTTAGGGGAAACAAATTCTGCGTCATTGGAACTAAATGTCTTTGACGTGTTTTCACATGCAATAATTTAAGCCAGAAATGAAAGAAAAATAAAGAAGTAGGCTAAGACTTGATCACCTAATTGCTTTTTTCACTGAATTTTTGTCTGGACTACATTAGGCCATAACAAGGACCTTTTTCCTCCCTAAATCCCCTGAAAAAATGTTCTGCTTTATTGTAATTTATTTGGAAACAGCAGAAAAAAAGCATAGTATGTAATACCTGCACAGTGAGCTATGCCGACTAGATTGATTGCTTGGTATTTTTGCAAACTGCTTTCTGTGCCACTCAGATTATAATGCCATTTCAGGTATGGGTTAGAGTAAGAAAAATAAAGATTTCAGTTGCTAACCAAAAATAGGCAAGACCAGGAACAGCTATTTGTAAGCTGCTTTTCTGTCACACAGGCTAGAGACTTGTATGGAGGGGAATTTTGGCCTCAGATAATTCAGTATCGTTCACAACTACTGCAATCACCAAACTTCAAGGATATGCAAAGCTGTAGCATGGGGCTAATAGCTTTGCAAAAGAAAAGACGCAGTTAAAAGATTTGACAAACAGGACAGCTCAGGTGGCTAAAAGCTATAGTGGCTGAAGAGCTGAAAAGTGAAGTCTTCCAGCAGGAGAAAACCATGTTATGAGCAGTTCTCTTGCCAAATACTGGTCCATAAACTGTACAACGCTACAGGATGTATAGGTTATTGACCCAGTAGCTCATACTATCATTTTCTAACTGCACTCTTTTTTTCTCTTTGTTTTTATCTAAGTCTCTGGGGCCTGCATTGATGGTAATAAGATTTCCCCCTGCTTTTCCTAAAATGTAAAAAGTGTTTTCTTAAGAAACCAAAGAAATGCACGTCATTGACTTTGAGCAAGTAATGCAATATCTGTGTGCTCAAAACCCTTCTTGGTCTGTCTTCAGACCTTGTGCGGTCCTTACAGCTGCAGAAGCTGCAAAATACCGCAGGATTTTGGCTGACATGAGACATGCTCACTTCTGGTGTTCGGCCAGACCTTCCCTTCCTGCAAGCCACAAAGCTGCTGTGGTGGAGCTGGATGAAGAGCAAGCCATCCTGGAAACACCTAAGCAGTGTTGGTGTCCTCTGCACACTAACGCTTTAGCCCTCTGTCTTACACAGCTGAATGATCTTGCACAATTTGAATGCAGGATTGTAACTTGACGTTGAATGTTACTGCAAGACAGTTTCTGTGTGTGTGTGTTTGCTTTTTAGGGAAATATTAGGACTTGAACCATGTGGAGGGCTTGAATAGACCAAATCATATGGGAGTGAATTTCAGAGGCCATAGCACAGCAAGAGATTGTTGTTCAGGCCACATAAATTTTCACTTTATTCACTTCTTTAAAGTGAATTTATGCTGGTGATTGCTTTTACTGTTATGAGGCTTCTTTATTGCAGCATTGTATCAAATATTTTAGTGGTCTGAGTAACTTCTATTGTCCTCTCTAGGGGTAATATTTAAACATATATTCAGTACCATTTCCATTTGGTGGAAATATTGGTTTTTTGTATCCTAATCATGGCTGAATTGCTTTAGCTGCTCTGATTCATGCTTTTATTGTTGTTATTGAAATTTGAGAAGGATTTTTCAAGGTTTTTAAGTAAAATTTCCCCTTCTCTGCTTGGCATACCATAAAACTAACAAAACTGTACTAGCTATCTAGCCACCTACCTGGTCTTAATATTTTGCCAAGTTTTCCAATTCAGGAGAGGTGCTTATCTGGTACCATTGTGTACCACATATCAGAAATAAGTGCCTATTGACTTCCTGCACACTCAATGTTTTTAATAAGCA